TTTTGAGGGGTGGGGTGGGGTATGCTTCTCAGCACAATGCTCTACCTGTGGTGGGCTCTCAGGAAATCTGTGTTGAATGAATTTGCCATAGAATCTTGGCTTTTCAAGGACAGAAAGGGTCTCTAGAGGCCATCTAGTCCAGTCCTGTCTCATGTTGAATTCTGTACCATAACATCCCAGACAGATGGTCATCCAGGGACAGGAAGCTGCCCACCTCCTGAGAAGACACCCTCCTTTATTGGGCAGTTCTAGTTGTTAGAAAATTCCTTCTGTCAGCCTGAAATCTTCCTGGTAACTTCTGCCCAACACCCTAGTTCTGCCCTCTGGGGCTTTAGAGGGGGTAAAAAAGTCTGTTTTCCTTTTCCACAAAGCATTCTTTTAGATTTTCAAAGATAAGAATCATTTCCTGTCTTCTAGGGTTGAGGTGTTAGGAAGTACCATTTTAATTTTGAGTAGCAGTCAGGTTAGACTTTCATGCATTATTAATTTTTGAAGGCCGCCTTTGTGCATGCCACAGCACCCTAGTCCTCTTACCCCCTCAGAGCTGTGGCTCTCTCCTGATCCCCAGACCCCTGGATGAGAATGGGGGCTTTGGAGGCAGTGGTAAAAGGTTAACAGGTCTTCATCCAGTACCCTCAAACAATTCCCCTGGGCAAGTGTTGTGTGAGGACTGGTTTTCTATTCAGCAGAACCACCCAGATGAAGATGAAAATTAAGGAATGAAAGAATTGTCCGTTAACAGGACCATCCAGGGGCATGACTTGGGCATTCTAGGCATTCTGTGGACAGGGGTTGTTATTCTCAGTTCTTTCTCCCTCTTTCCTTCCCTCATCTCTCCAGAACACTTTCTAATGTTTCTTCAAGCAATGAGGCAGTGTGGTCTAACGAAGAGAGCCAAACAGACCTGGGTTTAAATCCTGGCATGCCCAGACCTTAGGCAGAGTGGAGACCCTGGGCAAGTTACTTGAGCTCTGCAAGCCATCATTTTCCCGGCTCTAAAATAACCACCTCCACATTTCTCACAATTAAGTGAGAGAATGTGTGTAAAGCTCCTGGGCCAATCTTGGATGCACAGAAAGTGTACAATTACTAGCTTCCGTCTCCCCCATCTTCTTCCCCCAGCCTCTTTTCACTACCATTTTTGAGGGATTTAAAGGTAAAACACTGGCTTCCCTAGGGAAAACAAGCTGAATGTGAGTATAGTATCCCGAGCTAGTCTTGGGTGGATAGTTGGGAGCAAACTGTCAGTTTCCTGTGAGCTCCTGGTGAGATCAAAGAGTTAAAAGGGAGTTCTCAAGTAGGAGAGGCTGAGAAGGTTGTAAATGGTAATAAGTGACCAGTCCGGCTACTGTTGACTCCCCTAACACATGGGCTATTTAATACTGCTGCTGACAAGGTAACAAAGCCTGTGCCCCAGGCACAGTAGACTTGCAGAGAGTGGCCCTTCCACAGAAATGCTTTTCTTATGGATTTGTCTTGATCCCAAAAATGTTGAGCTACCTCTTTGTGTTTCTCCTGCAGACCCACCCCCTCCTGCCACTCCCTGCCACCTTCCACCACTCCACAGTCACAGTCAGCCACACTTAGCATCCAGGAAAAAATTATCTTGGGGCTGATAACTTTTCCCATACCCCGTTGATAGGCCAAGGGATTTCCTCATAAACTTGAGTTGCATACATGAGCCATGTTTTACAGCAGTTTCTCTGAGTTAAGAACCAGGAAAATAACTGTAAGCCTATAATCCTCACAATGAAGGAGGGTGGGAGAGAGCAGAGGAGTAGTGGGGGATGGAGTCCCCTGCGGGAACCCATCCCTGTCTTTCAGCAGATGTCTTAGTGCTTTCTATGTGCTGTGGGTCTGGGGATACCCCAACAGGATACTTGCAGACTGAGGGGCACAAGTAAATCAGACACGAGGCAGCAGAGCCCAGAGGAGAAAGGCATTGATTCTTGCCCTGTGGGCAGAGCCAAGGGGGCTTCACGAAGGAAGTGGCATTCCAGCTGGACCGTGAAGGGCAGGCAGGTACAGGAATGACTCTCCCCTCAGCCAGAAAACCTGTGTTGTAGTTCTTATGTGCCATCGAGTCGAAAACCTGTGAGGCAGGATCAAAGTTTAACTGGCCCAACACGAAGTAATGTGCAGAGGACGTTTCTCCATCAGCCCCAGTGGAATATTTTTAATTATGTAATGGACCATCTTTGCCTTGGAATTGGACAAACAAAAACACCCCCAATCCTGGGCAACTGTTTTCTCCGCATTTTCTGTAAGTAGCAACTGACAGTTTCTATCTGGAATGGCCAAACAGTGGGATCGCTCAGGGAGTTCAGGTGCCCATTTCTGTCCTGTTCTAGCAGGTCTCCAAGTCCTCTGTGGTCACTGAGCTAGAGACGTTCTAGGCTAACATCCCATCACTTAGGCAGATTTTTAAGTATTCTCAGTGTCTCTCACTTCATGGGCTGTAACTGGTATGAGGTCTGACCATCTTGTTATAGTTTGGGCAGAGTTGGAAAAATCCAAAGGGACCCCACATGCCTCCCACCCCCATGCCAGGGCATCCCTGTCCCTGCTCCTTGAGCTGAGAGTTCACACTGGGGTGTTTGTTTTCACACATAGTCTCACAGTGATCACATGGCCTGCTTATTTTTATATTCCTCTCCTGCTGTGGAAAGCCTTGTCTCAAGATTCTGGGTTGTGGATTCTGTTCTTTCAACCTAACATTGTTAAATAGTTAGAGTGAGTATTCAAAGTACCTGGAAGTTACTGTAATTAGCAAAAATCTGTTTTCATCTCTCTCTGAGTGAGCCAATAGAGAAAGAATCCTCCTGTGAACAAAATCAGCTTTCAGATCTCTGATGAGAGAGTTGGGAATTGAGCTGCCACAGTAAACAGCTGACATAACAGAAGCAGCAGTGATCCCCCATTAAATGTCTTTCAGCCGATGGGGCTCCCAGGATAATTGACTTTCCAGCAGGAATTACTGGCTCAAACGAAATCACTGAGCATTAGGGCAGCCTACTGCATCCTTTTGAAAAGGGGAAGAATGTAACTCTGCCTGGTTTTGCTGACCTGACAGGCATAATTCATCCTGATTATTCATTGTGCTGGTTGCCACCAGATGATACCAGTGACTGTAATTACAATGTGGTGTGAGTTTTCGTTTTGCTTTTTTTTTTTTTTTTTTTTAAAAAGTGTTCCACCTGCTTGATTATTGGCTTCCCTGAGCTGAAGGTGCTGTGGGGAGGTTTACAGCACTGTCTGTCTTGGTAGACGAAGAGTGTGCAGTTCAGTAGCATTTACCAAGTACTTCCTTGCATACAGCTTTTAGTAGATAAGCAAGGTAACAATTTGGTGTAGCCTGTTCCATTTCAATAGACATGTGTCACTTCTTGGTTATACTCACATCACTGTGTGTGTGCTGAATTGCTGTTACCAGAAAGTAGATTTACATTTCAGAGACCCCTGAAATGAGTAGGGAAGCAAAGCATGGCCCCGAAAAATAACTGAGTAATACCTGCTATTTTCAGACAGGCTTTATTAAAGAGAGAGGTGGAAGAGAATGGAATTAGACTAGGTTTTTGTTTTATTGGGTTGGCTTTCGAATGGGATCCCTGCGCGGTCCAAAGAATGTCCTCACAAGAAACCCCTGCTCCTTGTCCCCAGCTATCCCCCACACACACTTACACACCCCAGCCAGCTGGATGGCATGAGAGTGAGTGTACATACACCTCTGCACGCACATGTGTGTGGTCCTGGGGAGAAATGAGAGAGTGTGGTGGTCTGTGTCCATTCTCTTCTACTGAGTGAGCAGCAGAGTTATACTGTGAGGTAGCAGAAAGCCTTTCTGACTCTGGTATGATATATGTGTTTGCATTTTTTGGGGGAACAGTTTTAAATAACCAGCTAACATCTTTAGCAATGATTTCAGTTCATCAGACATTTATCGAAACCTGTTCTGTGCCAGATGATGCACAATATGCTGAGGGTACAGAGATGAACACAATATAATGTCCCTGCTGTAAAGTAGCTTACAATATGATAGGGATGATGGGTCATTTCAAAATAATCTGTAAAATTTTAACATAGAAATGTATGGTGATTGCTTCTAAACTACTTAGTGTAGCTGTGGATAAAGGGAAGGCTTCCTATAGAAGATGATGCCTGATTTGAGTCTTAAAGGAGGAATGAGTTACCCAGTTGAAGAAAGGAAGCATGTTTCAAGAGAATGAACAGAGTCCTGTTTGCCAGTTCGTCCTATTCATTTGAATGGTGTTGGCTTAACCTAGTCAATCAAATTAATAGTAAGTTTTCATTATTTCTCTTCTGAAAATGAACTTTCATCCTAGGGCTGCTGTATCACTATACCTTGGGAACAGTCTCAGACTGTGGGACCATCATATCACTAGAGGGTCCTGATCACTAGGCTTAGGATTCCTCATGGTGAGCCACGTCTGAGAGACTACAACTTCAGAATCTCTGTACTTTGGCCCTTTATCCCTCATTTAGAGTGTTGTGTGATTAGCCAGGCAGGTATTTTCACAGCCTGTAGGAAAGTGGTTCATCTAAGAGTGATGATGACTTCCAAAGGTCATCAGTTGTTGTTGTTATGTGCCATCAAGTAAGACCCAACTTACAGCAACCCCTCCTTGGGTTTCCAAGGCAGTATCACTACGGAAGTAGATTGCCCCATCTTCCTTCCAAGGAGTGGCTGGTGGATTTGAGCCGCCAGCCTTCTGGTCACTAGTCAAGTGCCTTAGGCACTACACTACCAGAGCTCCTAAAGGTTATCTAGGGATAAGCAAATTCTGAGAAAATTGGGCCTTTCAGCCCTTCTTTGAGAATTGCCAAGTAAGACCCACCCTAACCTGAGTAGCCTTTCATAGTGTCAGCCAGAATAGCACAAATTCTAAGGGTCTTTATCTTCCCCTTAAATGCTTTCCTTGCTTTCTGTCACTATTTCTCTTCCTATTCCCTGGTGAACTTTGTGTTACATTCTCTTTTAGAATGGCAGTTTGACCTGGAGTGACGATGCGGATGGCAGTCGGGGAAGAGAGATCTCTCGAGATTTTGCCAAGGTCTGTAATGTTTCTTTTGTGTTAAAGAAAGAAGTAGTTTTACAGTGGGTTGTTGTATCTGATCCCCAAGGAGTAAGACAGGAGTGCCCTGTGAGTCACATTTCTAGTCATTTGGGTGATTGCAGTATGTGTGGTGTAAGACTTCCTGCGGCAAGATGGAATTTGTCATTGTGTTTTTCTCTTGGGGGATGGGGATTACAGCTGTATGAACTGGATGATGATCCCGAAAGGAAAGAGTTCCTGGATGACCTCTTCATCTTTATGCAGAAAAGGGGTGAGTATGCAGTCTGTTCATCATTTCGATTCAGTTCATATTTATTGAGTGCCTACTGTGTACAAGTCACTGTTAGCCCTCCTTTCCCCAGAGTGTCAGCATCTTATGAGCATGATAAGCATTGCTACTGATGGGTCCTGGCTTTAGCCAAATAATTGACAACAAGATTGAAGAGAGAAGAGAGGGTCTTGGCAGAAAATGAAAGGAATGATCATCCGACTTTGGTCCTGCCTTGGTTTTGTCTCTCGTCTTCCAATAACTGGTCTCTGGAGCCCTAGCTTTGTAGCCACCCTGGGCTTCACTTCAGCTAGCAGGTGGAGGCCTGTTGGTGCATCCAGCATTGTGGAGACGGAGCAAGGTAAATGAAAGAATAGAGCTGGGTGGCATGAACAGCTAAGCACTAGACGACTAGCAAACAGAAAGTTTGCAGTTTGAGCCCACCCAGAGGCACCTCTAAAGACAGGCCTGGTGATCTGCTTCCAGAAAGTCAGAGAGCCTTGAAAACCCTATGGAGCAGTTCTACTCTGCACACATGGGGCTGCCATGAGTTGGAATCGACTTGACAGCTAACAACAGCAAGGTTTGTTGGGAGGGTCTGAAGTGATTCATGAAAAGGAAAGGCCAGCTCTTTCTCTTTATCCTTGTGATCCTTGCATACTCTGACTGGGCTAGAGCATTCCTGCCATTTAACTATGGGTGTGTAGGCATCTGCTTTACAACCCACCCTCCAGATGCTCTGTCCTTCTCACAACCGCTCTCTCCCCCTGCAACACACACCTGCCATCTCCACCCTGAACCATGTTGTGATTGAGCCTTGAGCCCAGTGAATCAGCTTCCTGGCTTTGTATCTTGTCATAGCAATGGGTTCACCAACCAAGTCAGCCCTTAGGATACATGGCCAGAACCTCAGCCTTTCTAGGAGAAGGTCTTTGGCAACCTTGGAAACTCTACTTTCATCACCTTAGGGCTAAGACACAAAGGAGAGCTGCTCCCACCATGCTCTTCCCCACGCTCCTGCTTGTATCTGATTGTACATCCCTTGGTTTCTCAATCTTTTATTGAGACCTAGGAATGAAATCCTCCTCTACCCTAGGCTGATCTATAATGGCAGCCACCAGCAGCTAAATACCCTGAATTAACTTCTCTTTCTCTCTCTATGTCTCTCTGTGTGTGTGTGTGTGTGTGTGTGTGTGTGTGTGTGTCCACCCACCTCCCTCCACCCCTTTACCTTCCAAACGCTTATTGCCTTGTTAGTGACATGACTGTAACTCTTTAAAAAAGGCACTGGAAAGTTTTGAGTCTCATTTCCCCCAATCTCCAAGCCTATCTGAGTAGTCTAAGCAGGCCATAATTAGTTTACTACTACAATTGTTATCTGGAGCTGCATGTGTCAGTGAAAAAACAGGAATATAATCCCAAACGATAATGTGACTGGCAGCAATGAAACTCCCTGTTGCCCTGAGAGAGAGAAATCCACTTAATACTTTGGTCTCCCCTTCCAATTACCTTTTAATTATTTACAAGCTTCACAAGCCCAGCTGGTGCAAACCCAGGAGCTGATCCTGTCTCAAAGGGGCTGCCATAGCAATATAGATTTTAATCAGCGGTGTAGTTCCACTGCTTTATTTTCTACTTTATTGCTTTTCGCCCTTCCCAGAAGGATTTTTAAAAGGAAAATAGAAGTTATATCAGTCTAGCTAAAGAGTGAAGATGGGTAATTGTTTACTACTATATGTTCCCATTAGACTAGGAGCTCCTTGAGGACAGCCACTTTGTCATTCCTGTGAGTCCCCAGTGCTAGCACGGGGCCAAACACGGAGCTGCCCAGGCAGGACATGTTGGTTGTGTGAGTCGTCCCATTGGTTTTCTTGACTCACCTGCCCCGCACAGGGAGGCTGAGCTCACAAGACTTCAGCTGCATCTCCTTCCCTCTCTGTGGCTGCCCTGTAATCGAAGGTCAGCCGCAGCAGGCAGTCTACTGAAAATCCTGCTATACTGCAGCAGCTGGAACTGCCAGGTTGCCAGCTAGTAGATTTATGAGTGAATTCAAAGCAGAAATAAGTGACACCCTTTGACTAATACCAGTTTACAGTGATTCAAGTCCTGAGTAAATCTTTTTCTCATCTTTAGCACTCCTGTTAGGTATTTCACTATTTGCTTTCACTGTCAGCATCACTGGTAGAAGGGAACCCCATTCAGTCCTTTTGGCTACTTGTTAGTGACCCTGAATACAAAGTTTCTCAACCTCAGCACTATTGACTTCTGGGACTGAATAGTCCTTTGTTGTGAGGGACTGTCCTGTGCCCTGTAGAATGTTTAGCAGCGTCCCTGGCCTCTACCCACTAGATGCCAGTAGCACTCCTCAGTCATGACAGCCAAAATGTTTCTGGTATATTATAAATGTCCCCTGGGAGCAAAATTGCCCCTATTAAGAACTACTGTAATAGAAGGATGAGAGTGAGTAGATTTAAAATTCCCTCTGCAGAAAAACTTTATGGAGATAATCTTAACCTCCACTCAGGTAGCAGTACCTGAGGCTGGGGCCTTTGTCAGGCCATGTTATGAGCTCTCCTCTGTGACTACCAGATGATTGAGTGCTGGGACTGCATCCTGGATTGGAGTGCAGTGAATGCTCCTGAGAGCAGATGCAGCATCAGGGTATCCGAAGCACGGGCGTAGGGGAACCATGCAAGGAAGGCCAGAACACCATGTTATACGTGGCTGTGGCCTGGCTAGAAGAACCCTTGTGTGTGGCCTGAGTTCAGGGACTGCTGTCCTGGACAGATCAGCTGGCATCAGACTGTGAAGAGCAGTGTTTGAGAAGCTAAGCACTTCAATCTGTAGACATGGCTGAGTTAATGAAGGCAAAGCCCGGGAAGTACTCCAGAACTGGGCTTTCAGAACACTTATCTGTCAGCAATGTGTAGTTGGAGAGGGAAGGTTGAGGTAGGGCAGCCAGTGTGGAGACTGTTCCCTTTAAATTCACAGTGATCTCCTCACTGGGAAACTCATTCTAAGAGTCTGAGTTAGAGTGGGTGGTTTAAGAAGGTTGGGGAGTGGATTGTGTTTTTAATCGTGAAGCTTTTGAAATCTTTGCTCTTCACGTAATGGTGGCCCTGGATATTTGTGACTTACTTGTCACTCCCAGATTTGAGTATCTGGGTCACTTAGGAGTCAGACCTTGTAAGCTGGGACCAAGGAAAAGCCTAGTAGACCTCGGCAGCAGGCAGCAGACAACAGGTCAATGTTTCAACCTCCAGAGCTAATGTGAAATGTAAATGGTAGATTTCACAGGAGCCACTGAAAATGGCCTGTGTGTGAAGGGCCTGAGCTGCTGGGCAGCTTTGACACAGCAGGCTGCTCCACAGAGGAAGTGGACTGGGCCCTGAGGGAGGCAACACACAGCAGGCTGCCCCCAGTGACTGCAGCTGCAGGTGATAAAAAGGCTGATCAGTAGGAGCAGGGGACAAGGCTATAGTTGCAGCTTTGTTCAGCGTCTCTCACTTGTTAACATTTTTGGGTGAATTCACTGCAACAGATGGGCCTTTCAGCCCATGGCACCTTAGTTTCTAGACTAGATACACGCCGGTGACCCCTGCCCCACCGTAGGGCAACCTGTTAGCAGAAGGAGCCTGAGAAGAGCGGAGTCAGCCGTGGCAGTGCTGAATCTGCTCACTGCTACAGTGTGGTGAGAGAACGAGCTCTGGGCTGATAAACCAGTGCAAAGCCAGGGCTAACATTCCACCCTGCTCCCTGATCTTGAGCAAATCCTTTTCCCTCTGGGGGGGCCACTGTTTCCTTATCTATAAAATGAGAGGATTCCAGTAGAGGCTATCCAGAAGCTCCTTCCAGATTGTGTGTTCTGTGTGTTGTGTCCATGACTGTGTCTTTTGAGCTCCCAGTAGACAATGAGCCACCTTGTTGATCAGAAAAAGGAGAAAAAGCCCCTTAATAGTAGTTTTCTATCAGAATAATTGCCTGTGTAGCAAATACACTAAGGACCCCCAAGACCAAATACTTCTTCCATTCCCCTGCTGAAGAAAGTATTTCCCTTTTACTGACTGAAGCCAAATTGAATTAAACAAATTACTCTTGATTGTGTTTTCCCTCAAAATATTTTCTAGAAGGGAATGGTTAGATATCAGAACTCTGGTACCCCTTTTTTTTCATCTTTTGCTATGTGCATATATTTAAAAAAGAAAAACAAAACTATATTTCTTTGCCAGAAATAAGTGCAAACAATTCTAAATAATATTCTCTGCCTGATTTAACTCACTTCATTGGTGCCCTAGTAGATTTTCCCATTTACTCTTCCAGTGCCCAAGGGGGGAATTAATTTGGAAGTCTGATACACAAAGACTCTATATAAACAATACCATTCTTCCTTCATCTGTTAAGGAAGAAAAGCATGTTCCCTAGGAGGTGAAACAACACAGTGCTCTCCTCAGAGTCAGGATGGTAGTGATGATACTTTTGCTGTTCTTTTTATTATTACTATCCCATACACTTTCAACCCATTATCTGCTGTGCTGTTCCCCACAGCTCCACTCTGGGTAGACAGAGCAGAGGTTATCACCACCCACAAAGAATCAGCTTTGAGGTTAAGTGACTTATCTAAGGCCACCGAGTGGAATTAGAACTTGGTATTCTAACTCCCAGGCCAGTGGTCTTTCTCTGTCCTCTACCACCTTTAAAAAACTTGGCCCATTTCACTAGCAGTTCCATCACTTCCTCCCTTCAGGGCAATGGACTATCCCTTGTCTCTACTTCAATATTCTAAGCCAGTAGAGAGAGCTGGTCTGCCTTTTCAGGCCACAGTGGAGTATCTAGCTAATAATTAATACAAGGTAGAACTCTGTGTGTAAAATGAGTCTTCATCTCAGGGTAAGGTCTCTCAGGGAAGGGCAAATGGGACTAACAGTGGCACAGAGGCTGCCATCTGATGGGGCAGTTGATGGGTGTGGTCCACCAGTGACAGAAGCACCTTGTACACACCCAGG